AGGTTTATGATTCTTGGTTCTTCAAGCACGTCGAACACAAAACTCAACCAAATGACCGTTTATGAACGTATAAACGATCTATACGAACATTCTAGTCATTAGATATATCTAGGGGCTTACCTCGGAGCTAAACGATGGTTTTTGAAAATTTCCGGTGAAACTTTCGGCGAGGTTTGTGGCTAGCTCCGGCGACTTCACACCAAATTGACAGCACAACTTCACTCTCTACACTCATAGCTTTCTTTTGGAAGAATAAGGGTGATGAATGGTGAAGTTTTTGGGGGGTTTTATAATAGAGAAGTAGGAGGAAGAAGCAATGGTTGATGTCCCAATTTCCTGTTCCAGCTGCTGAGTGGAGCGGCTTTCGAATTTCTTCTATTCTAAATGCAAGTCCTTGATTGGGACTAATTTTGGTCCTAGTCGGGGTACATTTTTTGATCCAACTTTCTCCGAATTTAAATCCATTTGCACCGTTATGATCAGACAGTTAAACTCTATCCGATGATATAATTTTCATATTTATTTGGGCATGGCCGTGCACTTCCGAAGTCACATCAATCAGTGGGCCCTAAGATATTATACTTCATTAAAGAAGGGATAAATTCTATCTACGTCATTCACACCTTCACTTAAGTTTCGTTACATACCCAAAACATAATTGTACATCCACCAATATTTCAGATGGCATAAATCATGCTTCAAAGTATGCAACTCAACTTACCAAAGATCGTAATGAGTTCAAGTCAAAGGATAGTTATACTAATGGTCGCATGAGAATAATATTAACACTTTAACTTAAATCCATATATTATTCTCATAGCGGGTCAATCCAGCAACATATCCAATATTATTGCCTATGTATAGATTCAGATAACACTTTATCTATAGCCTATGAGACGCATCTATCTCATCTCATACGTATTATTCTTGATATATTATGATGTCCGTATTATCATAATATTTGACTAAGGATATTTTAGACGTAGCCTCTACATTTGTAACATCCTCATAATCAGAACGTTGTAGTTCTCATCTATGTTACTAGAGCGCCTGCTCTATGGACTAAAGTTATTTTTAAATCACACGAGACAACTTAAACAATCTTTATGGCCTATTATTCTAGATACATAGATATGGAATCATAAGTTGGCCTCTAGGGCTCACTTATATTCAACAATCTCCCACTAGCACTAAGGCCAATTATACATTACATAAATGCCCATGTATGAAGAGTGACCCTCGTGTCTAGGTTTTCCAAAAGCCTAGGTCAATGAGTTTATAGATTGTCATCTATTCTATTTTGCAAATCTTTACAATATATAATCTATGTGATTACTCCTGATGTCGTGTTTAGTCTTGGTGAGACCGCGGTTCATTAGTATGTGACGATCCATCGTTGTCATTACAACGGATGGTATCTTCATGCTAAGAACCATATTAAGCTCATAGCTCTCGATCCAAAACACCTTGCTTAGTGGCTTCAAAAGCTTCTATATACTATACTTCTATAGTTGAACTTTGGTAGTGTCATCAAGCTCTTTTAACTTACTTCACTACTATTCAAAATATGCAACCTTTCTGCGATGTGTATACAATGCGTATTTGGAAATCACACAAGGTAATTTCTTCATTTCATATAACACCATCATTGGGTGGCATCTCATAATACCAAGGACGCTCCTTTTGCTATGTAGTGACAGTCACTAACTTAGCATGTTATCTACTCATAACATTTAGAATCGAATAATTTTGGTCTTTATCATGATATTCATGATAGGTCCAAAGGTAGTTGCATAATGAATGATTCTTATGCATTCCCTACGTTGAGATATATCAAGTCTTCGAAAGACTTGGACCTTTGGATTGCGGTTAAGTATTTAGATCAATAACATTGATTCTACGAATAACTTGCCCTTATATATAGTCCTAGTAACTCCATTTAATCTATCCAATAGATTCAATATCTAGTGCGTATTTGTTTTTACCTATAAGAAATTCTACTCAACTCCCCATGGATGTTTGTAGTAGGAATTTCGAACTTGTGATGTGTATGTCATACATACCTTATGGAAAAACATAACGCTCCCACTAACCTTTTCTTGTCACAAGTTTCCATTCCTTAAAGACAAACTCATAGTTAATTATGGTTTTCGTAGGGACATTAAATGACTCCAAGAAACTTAAGATTTCACCGGGTAACATTACATCTTATAGCTGGTTGCCATTTCTTGGACTCGATGCTCATAAGATTGGTTAATGACTCATCTCATGTTATGAGCCAAAAGCCGAATCGTATTCAGACAAACCAAATCTATACTTGTGTTATTTGAGCAATCTCGAGATACAACATATTGTATCTCTTGCTCATGTTCTATTCTTATAAAGGCAATGCCTTTTTGTTCTTGAACTTATTCAAGATCTATTTTCCTCCCACTGACTTTCATAAAGAGGAATTTCTTCTTTAAGAAAACTCTATTATGAGTAACATGTTACAATTCTCGTACGGATTACAACGGATGGGGAAGATGAACGGTCCCGGAAATAAAAAATATATAAAATTCTGAATTTATAATTTATTCAGAATATTACAAAATAAACAAAGTTGGAAAATAAATTTCTATATCTTCAAACAGCCTTGTTGTATGAGGATATTAAGCACTGGACAGCGAGGACATTAAGCACTAAGACAGAATGCAGCGAGGTCTTTATGAACTAATCCTGCAAACAAAACACCACGGGAGGACAACGGAGTCGCCGGAGCTGTCCTTAAGGTAGTAGTGCCCGCCTGCCATACCGGAAAAACGTGGGCACTCTCCTCCCAGGATAAAACCGCTATCGTGTGTGGAGATTGTACGGACCAACCACACACCAACGAACAAGAACAACGTAGGAACGTTGGCGACCAAAAACTTTAAAGGGGATGGCCGGAAATTTGGCCGGAAAATCAAGAGCTCTCTTTAAAAATTAAACAAGAAAGTTTTCCCTTTCCTTTTCTTTCTTTCTCACACATCAAGCACTCAAGAGAATGGAGAGAGCCTATGATTTTATAACCAAGCCATTTAAAAAATGTAACTCCTACACCATTAATCCATGGCATTTGTGGCACACTTAATATCGTGTTAATGGTGATTAATTAGCCATTAACACGTCCGTTACGCTACGCTCCGTTTAAAATTTGTCCCGAATAATTGGAGATTAATGGCCAGTAAAATTGCAAAATTGCAATCCTTACCATATTCTTCTATTAACGGGTTAACTGTAACACCCTCCGTCCCGCGAACCCGGTTCATCGCGGCCCAACAAGCCGGAGAGGTTACGTAGACGGTTTTAAGGTCATCTACAAGGAAAACCCTTGCATTGCTTGTAACGGAAAACCCTTGATATAAATGTTATTAAATGATGAGAGTAAATCCAAAGTAAGGAAACGTTTTGTAGTGGAAGGAATTGTGAAGTGTAAACCTTAAGTCTTAAGTAATAAGTACGACAAGGGTGGGTTCGAGCCTAAAACGTTTTTCATAATTAAATAAGTAATTAATCCGGCCCGCACTGTCGTTCATCCGCTGCCCCGATCACCCAATCGTCCGGGTCAGGCTCCATGATCCTCTAGCCTACCTGCGTATAGAAAAGGAAAACAACGATATACGCTTAGCAAAAGCTGAGTGGTAATCAAACAGTAGAACACATAGTACATTCACATTGATATACACATAATCGTACATGTACTAAAGTACGAGATACCACTTACGAGTTTAATGAATAGGAGTTACAATTAAGCAATGATGCAATGCCAAATAATCATGATGCATGAGTTAGACTGCGCAGGGACCCCCTGCCCTTCGGTGATCATCCCCACGCGGTAGATGAGCCGAGGAACGCCTTAGTCATCCCGATGGAGACTAGAATGTGGGTGATAGCTAAGCCTAGCTACCATGTACGTACACAAGCCCTCGTGATGAAAACCTGTTGGATCCCACAGGTTCCTGGACGGGCCCGCGGAAGAGGCGCACTGGGCCTAACCTCTTGTCGCGGTATGCAAGGTATGCCATGATCTTAAACATGCGTCTAGGATATACATGATGATATGAATGCATTACTTTGATGAATGAAGGTCAGCTCATACATGTACGTTTGATTCCACATGAAATGATTTGTACAAAATGATGACCTGGGTTCAGAACTGGCTGATAATCGATTAATACATGGTGATAATCGATTTTCAGCGAAACCAAACTCTGACTCAAGAATCCGCAGGGCCTGATAGTCGATTATCACCATTGTGACAATCGATTATCTCGCTTTGCTGGTTCAACTAAGGAGTTCAGCGTGACCCGATAATCGATTATCAAGTTCTGTAAATCGATTATTAAGGCACGCTGATTCCTATTTTGTCTGTTGGTTTTTCATCAAGACGTTAAGGGTTTTTAAAATGAACGTTTACATTTCTGGCTTAAGTAATTGATGAGTTTGCAAAGTTCATAACGTTTATATTATCAAGTGCGTAATCGAGTACTAAAGGGAAATTATTCCTATTGGGTTCTCAAGGCCCAAAATAAAACTATCATTTTTCATTCCCTATAGTTCTAATTTTTACTTAGGACGAGGTAGTACCAAAACAAATATGAATTTTATTTTTAAAAGAAAAGTGGTACTATTTTTCCAAAGTCCTGTACATTTTAAAAATCCTAAGGACCAGTACTTTTAGAGCTTGTTGGA